GGGAAAAAAGAGAGGAGAAAAGCAGGGGAATAAAATCATTAGCTGTCAAGGATATTCCACAGAGGCCAAACTATGACCCTATAATTATCTATCATTAGTTTCTTTGGCACAATGCCAAGAACGTTCTGGAAAATAATGCAGAAAGCAACAGGCAAACTAACTCGATTAAGCTGTGATTAACAAATCCTCTGGGTTTTTACCTTTCATAGCCATAACCAGAAACCAAAAAGAGGCACAATCCTGTAAAACATACTATGGTCGCTTCAAATTGTTCTGAATCACTCATTCAGGGACTCATGCGTTCTCAAAGATGTTGATATTCATGTTCAGGTTAAGACCATTTTCCAAAACAGGTCTTCAAGCTTTCTGTGCACCTTGGGTGAAAGTGACCGATCCAAGGGATGAGGCAGCAATGGCTACATCCAGAGAAAAGTTCTTCTCGTGGGCCCTGATGCTAGTAGTATTACTCTTATTGTTGCCCCAAATATCATGTGCCAAATCCAGCTTGAACTGCCCCTTGATCGAGGCACAGCCAGTTCCTCATGAATGGCATAAACCTGGGGATCTCATCGTTGGTGGCATGGCTTCTCAAATCATTTGCTTTTTCCCTGCAGTTAACTTTGAGCGACATCCTTATGCGGATTTAGATATGGAAGTTGCAGTGTAAGGCTATATATATATAAATATATCTGTATGTATGTCTATACTTTTCCTTACTCATGTCAGCTTGGATTTCCAGTAAAATGCTGGAATAGAATGTGCTTCATGGATTTTCCCTTTTTTAAGACATTCCAGGGAAAATAGAGGACCACAAAAGGTGAGATGGTCAGTCTTGGTTAGGAGGTAGGGGAGTGCCAGGTAATACAAAAGGTAAAAGGTAAAAAGAAAATATCTACAGGTCTTCTTCTATTTTTTTCTTTATTTATTTTTGTCAAGCATATATAAGATTACAGATAAAAGTATAAACATGATTATGAATACATGAAATGTATAAACATGATTATGGATACATGAAATGGATACGGAGAAAAAGGGACATTAGAATAGGGATGGTAGGCATGTTGGTATGCTTATGCACGCCCCTTACAGACCTCTTAGGAATGGGGTGAGGTCAACAGTAGACAATCTAAGGTTAAAGTTATGGGGGCTTGGGGGTGAAACCACAGAGTCAGGTAGTGCATTCCAGGCATTGACTACTCTGTCGCTGAAGTTGTATTTTCTGCAATCGAGTTTGGAGCGGTTTACCTTAAGTTTGTATCTATTGTGTGCTCATGTATTGTTGTGGTTGAAGCTGAAGTAGTCATTGACAGGTAGGACATTGTAGCAGATAATTTTAAGTACTATGCTTAGGTTAGACCACAGGTGGCGTAGTTTTAAATTGTCTAAGCTCAAAATTTTAAGTCTGGTGGCATAAAATATTCTGTTGTGAGCGGAGGAGTGGAGGACTCTTCTTGTGAAATATCTCTGGATTCTCTCAATTGTATTAATGTCTGATATACAGTGCGGGTTCCAGGCAGGTGAACTGTATTCGAGAATTGGTCTAGCAAAGGTTTTGTATGCCCTAGTTTGCAGTACAATATTATCAGAGAAGAAGCTTCACAAGATTAGGTTAACAACTCTCAATGCCTTTTTTGGTAATGTTGTTACAGTGGGCTCTGGCACTTAGATCTTTAGAGATGAGAACTCCAATGTCCTTGACAGAGTGAGGGTTGTCTACAAGGTCATGTCTATCTGCTTCTATATCATGCATGGATATAGAACTGCATGGATGGGTCCACACAGATAATCTGAACTATTCTCCATTTACATTACACAATATTTTCTTCATCCTTCTTCTCCATGGTTTCAAATTTTCACCACATCCTCTTTGTCGTTTTCCCATTTTTGTTGCTTCTTTGTTTCTTCTTGCATTCTTCTTTTTTAATGTGATCCTTCTGAAGTGGTCTTCATTCAAGCCCTATCACCACCATCCTTGAGAATGGAGAAAATAATTAAAAGCATCGTGAGTTAGGAAGGTCAACTAGATGTCATTTAAATACCTAGATGTTATTTAAATTGTAATATAAGTTAGGTTATATTTAATTTTGTTTCTATTTATTCTGCCACTTCATACCTGATGACTGCTTTCAGCCTCCTGAACCATGAGATGGGCAGCAAATAAATTCCATCAATAAATAAGTACATAAATGAATGGAGTCCACCCTTCCCCAAGAGCCAGATAGAGTGTTTGGTACTCTATTTAAGCATTTTAATTCTTCATTGAGATGAAGAAATAGTTAAGAAGGCTCTAGATTGGGCAGAAATGGATAAGCATGTTCAATTCTTCATTGAGATGAAGAAATAGTTAAGAAGGTACTAGATTGGGCAGAAATGGATAGATTGATATTGAAAATTAAGCAGAAAGAGGACATAGAATATTATCAAACATGGAATTTATTTTACCAATGGTTGGAAAAAAGGGGTAGAGATTAAGAATGTAATTTGTATTGTTAAGCAAATAAAATACCCACATAACACAATGTTTATAAAGCACTAAGAAATGTATTTAATAGAAAATCAATTTTAAAAAAGCATATTCAATTATCAGCAAGCCTTTGAAGGTTTGCTCTCCTTACTTCATTAATGGTTATATAAAGTTGCTGTTGTAAAAAATGGAATGTTTTCTATAATCAAGTATGTAGGAATCGATTAGTGCAGGAATTAAATAATTTGATCAGTAATTGTATTTGATGTCTATAATAGATAGAATAGAATTCTTTATTGGCCAAGTGTGATTGGACACACAAGGAATTTGTCTTGGTGCATACGCTCTCGGTGTACATAAAAGAAAAGATACATTCGTCAAGAATTATAAGGTACAACACTTAATGTTAGTCATAGGGAACAAATAACCAATCAAATCATATTAGGAAACAGTCAATATAAATCTTAAGGATACCAGCAACAAGGTTACAGTCATACAGTCATAAGTGGGAGGAGATGGCTGATAGGAATGATGAGAAGATTAATAGTAATGCAGACTTAGTGAATAGTTTGATAGTGTTGAGGGAATTATTTGTTTAGCAGAGTGATGGCATATTCAAAGACAAAAATAGACCTGCTGTCTTTGGTCAAGTCCATTTTTTTATCCAGCAGTTTGTTTCTTAGACTGGCCAGCCCAGATTTTTCTTCGACGTTGTTGTAAGGCTGCAGCTCCTAGTACTTGTATACTATCAGGTCTTCATGATTATTCATAAGGAAAATAGTCTCCCTTAGAGCTGTCCTCCATGGATTTAATTTGAAAAGCCACCACATTTAGTAGTCATCAGTGGTGGGTTTCAAAATTTTTTACTACTGGTTCTGTGGGTGTGGCTTGGTGGGCGTGTGGCAGAGGAAGGATACTGTAAAATCTCCATTCCCACCCCATTCCAGGGGAAGGTTACTGAAAAATCCCTATTTTCTCCCAATCAGCTGGGACTTGGGAGGCAGAGAATTGATAGCAAGTCAGAATTTTTACTACCGATTCTCCAAACTACTCAAAATTTCCGCTACTGGTTCTCCAGAACTGGTCAGAATCTGATGAAACCCACCTCTGGTAGGTCATCACCAGATCATGTAATAATTTTAATCTCACTGTTTAATTACCTGCTGTATCAAACAGTGTTTTCTTCGATCGGTTCTACATTGCCTTCCAATTATATGTTCTATTCCAATTATATCCACCTTCATTGGATGAGCCCTTGTTCTAGTGCTTTGAAAACGAGTCAAGAAGATCTCCCTGCCCATTTTCTCCAACTATTTACCATTTTATACATCTCAATCCTCTTCTCTCAAGTCATTTTTTCTCTCTCTAAATAAATAGACTAGGAATTCTACTTTTTTCCAGTTCTGTGTCCACCGAATAATTGGGCCATGTATTTGTCTTTGCAGGATGGTGACAAAATTCTATCAGCATGTCCTGACGTTGGCATTTGCTGTGAGTGAGATCAATGAAAATGCAAACATCTTGCCAAATCTTACACTCGGGTTTCACATTTATGATAGCTATTATGATGTTCGTATGACCTACTGGACCACCCTGGACCTGCTTTTCAAATCACAGAGATTCCTCCCAAATTACAATTGTGACTCAGAGAGGAATCTTATGGCGGTCGTTGGGGGAATGAGTTTGGACATCTCAACCCACATGGCAGATTTCTTAAATCTCTACAAGATTCCACAGGTAAAAACTAATGTTGAGGAAATGAAACGCGTTAATGTACCATTAATGTATTCCTTCTCCTGTTATATTCCCTCTCCTGTTTCAGAGAGAGAGAGCGAGAGAGAGAGAGAGAGAGAGACAGAGACAGAGACAGAGACAGAGAGACAGAGACAGAGACAGAGACAGACAGAGAGAGAGAAACACAGAGACAGAGAGACACACAGAGACAGAGACACAGAGACACATAGAGACAGAGAGAGACAAAGACACACACACACAAAAAGAGAGACAGAGACACAGAGACACAGACACAGGGCCGGATTTAGATGAAAAGAGGCCCTAGGCTATTCCACTTATGAGGCCCTTTCACCTATAATGAAAGTGTAATTTTAATTTTGCTAACAATTTGAATGTAGGCCCCTCTTGATCTTGAGGCCCTAGGCTGAAGCCTAGTTAGCCTATAGGAAAATCCGGCCCTGCACAGACAAGAGACACAGAGAGAGACAGAGAGAGACGGAGAGAGACAGAGAAAGAGACAGAGAGAGACAGAAAGAGACAGAGAAAGAGAAAGAGACAGACAGAGACAGAGACACACACAGAGAGACAGAGAGAGAGAACAGGAAGAAAGGATGAAGATAACAGAGTCTTGATGGTTTCTTATTCATGGCTTGATTTTCCAAATGTAGTTTCTGAACTAAAGTAGATACACTGATAGCCCAATCGCCCAATCTATTGTTAAAAAAAGTATTTCATTCCTTTTTAGCTTAGTTATGGTTCGTTTGCCTCAGAAGACAAAACACATCCACATTCCTTTTATCGCATGGTCCCAAATGAAAGTCATCTGTATAAAGGCGTGGTCCAATTGCTTCTACATTTCAGATGGACATGGGTTGGGCTACTTGCTGTGGATGATGATACAGGGGAACATTTCTTGGACAACCTGGAGAAGATGTTCCACAAAAATGGAATTTGTTCTGCTTTCAGAAGAATGCTCCCTAAGCAAGGTCTCTTTCTTCCACTTGATGAACTTGGAGAGATGGCATCAATTGTCTATCAGACCTTCATGGATAGGCAAGCTAGAGCATGCATCATTTATGGTGAAAGTATGACCCTTCTGTGGCTGAGCACTTTAGTGCCTCTAGCAGATCATCAATACGAAGCAAAAATATCCCTTGGAAAGATATGGATTACAACTGTCCAGATTGATTTTACAGTGACATCCTTCATTACTCGTACTTTTTTTAAAATTTTCCAAGGGACTATTTCCTTCTCTATTCACTCAAATAAGCTTCTGGGGTTCCAAGCCTATCTTCAGAATATAAAGCCTTTTGAGACAGAAGGAAGTGGCTTTCTCAAGAAATTCTGGGAGCAAGCCTTTGGGTGTTCACTTCCAAATTTTCAAGAATCTGATGACGTCGATGGTATATGCAACGGTAATGAGAAGTTAAGAGATCTCCCTAGCCCTATTTTTGACATGTGCATGACTGGTCAGAGTTACAGTGTGTACAATGCAGTCTATTCCATAGCACATGCTCTACATGCTATGTTATCATCTAGATCTCCATTCGGAGAAATAATGAGAAGACAAAGTCTTCAAGAAATCCAGCCTTGGCAGGTAACATTTCAACTACGATCCTGTGTAAAGCTATAGCTTGCTCCCACAGAACTGAAGCAATTCATTTTGTCAAAGTGAAGCATAGTGATTTTACTCATTGAGATATCACATCACTCCAAGGTCTAGGACAGGGGTCCTCAAACTACAGTCCGTGGGCCGAATATGGCCCACCAAAGCCATTAATCTGGCCCATGCAGGACCACGAGGCTGCCCCACTCACATTGCCCTACCTACCTACCTTCTGGAGGCTGGGAAGTTCAGTTCAAAAACAGGACACATGGAGGCCTCTGGAGGCCAAAAACAGGCCCCTTTTTGGGGCAGCAGAGAAGTACTGGAGGCCGGGGAGCCCAAAAACGGGACACACAGAAGCCTCTGGAGGCCAAAAACGGATCTGTTTTTGGCCTCCCCAGCCTCCAGAGAGAGAGAAAGGGAGGGAGGGAGGAAAGAGAAAGACATATACATGCACAAACAGAAGTCCCTCATACATACCCCAAGGCAGCCACATCCCTTCACTAACCTGCTTTCCACTCCCAGGAGCAAAACAAATTAAATTTTAATTTATGTGTATTGTTTGGACTATTAAATCGGCCATGGTCACCCAGTCACATGACTACCTAGCCACACCCACCCAGCTGGTTTGCCCCCCCCCCAACAGTTGAGGGACCATGAATTGGCCCCCTGTTTAAAAAGTTTGAGGACCCCTGGTTTAGGAGAATTCAAAAGAGGGTTTGATATATATGAAAAGGAACTATTTGTGATTTTCCAGTAACGTACTGGAAAAGTTGAAAGGTTTCTGCTTCTTGTGATTGCCTAAGATCTTGGAGTAATAAAGCCACAGGTAAACTAAATGGATGTGAAATAATGGAACGAGCTGTATATCAGTTCTTGGCAACAGACAAGAATAATTTGGGAGAAAGACAGAAGCTGTCCTTGCCAAGTCTCATAAGAAAGTCAGACTGAAGATGGCCAATTACTTGCAAAAAATAGCAGTGAAAGTTAGCACCATTTTGAATTCAACTTTTCCAAAGCCCCATTCTCCAGTTCTGTGGCATGCATCACTTTACAATGCCTGTGACTACTGAGTGAGAATTCCTAGCCAAAATCCTCTATATTTTAAATAGCCTTGAATTCATCTACTGAGTGACAATTCTTTCCCAATATCTCTATATCTTCAAGTACCATTGAATCCATCCACTTCTCTTTCCCCCTTTCATCTAGCTCCACTCAGTTCTTCAATGCATTGGGTTTAACAACGCGGCTGGAGAAACAGTGTCCTTTAATGAAAATAGAGAACTGGTTGCTGGATTTGATATTGTCAATTTGGTCATATTCCCCAACAACTCTTTTATTAGAACAAAACTTGGAGAACTGAATCCTCATGGTTTTGAAGAACAAAAAATCACCATCCATGAAAGTAAAATTTTCTGGCCAGAGTTTTATAATCAGGTATGAATTCTGCTCTTAGAGATAGTCCTCATTTGTAATGGAAGCTGTGGATGATCTTGAGGAACAGGGGGAAGAGATGCTTCCTAGGAAATAATCAGACAAGGAAGGCAAGAGTCTCCAGTGGCTCAATTGTCAGAGAAAGAAATTTAGGATGGACCTGGCCTAATATCTATGGAGATTCTCAGTCATCTAGGTCATGGTTGTCCCAAAGGTGCTTTTTCAAAAGGCAACTGAACTATGTCTTTCCTTGAGGAAGAAGATGAAGCTTCCCTCCATTCTGATAGTTCTGATAATTCTTTGTCAGTCAGAACTAATGAAGCTTCTTGGATGAGAAGTCCATTTTTTAATGACCCCATAATCCCTTGTGGGATAGAGTATGGGCAACTGAATGGAGCTATTAGAATGTTTACTGGCCAGATGCCCTCCCTGTTGCCAATGTGGAGTTTTGTTCAGCAGATATATTCTCATTTTGTCCAGAAAGAGAAATATCTGCCTCTACCTAGGATTGAACTCACAGCCTCCTGATTATGAGATGAGAGCTACCCCTCTAGGCCACCACACCACTCCTAAGTCTTCTTCCTCAAGGAAAAACATAGTCCAGTTTCCTTTTGGAAAAGCACCTTTGAGACAAGCTGCCCTAATGGATCAATTAGAGCAAGGAAAATGGGACCATATATTTCTCCTGTTTGGATTCCGAAATGTCACTTCAAAATTGTTAAAACATCAATCATCTTTTTCTGGTTAGATGATTCCTCTTTCGGTGTGTACAAATTCTTGCAACCCGGGTTATCATAAAAAAAAGAAGGATGGGAAGAAATTCTGCTGCTATGGCTGTGATCAATGCCCTGAAGGAATGATTTCGAAATGGAAAGGTGGGTTTTGAATTGATCTTTATCATGAGTTTGTGGCAAAAATACAAGTTGCACCATAATTTGGCAAATGGAAGAAATAAAAATGCATTAGTTTTCCTTGAATGAACATCTTTTGTTTCCTCTTAATTAATTTTGGTTACTCTAAGGCAGTGATGGTTAACCTTTTTGCCATCGCGTGCCAGAAGGGGGGGGGGTCTCACGCATGCATGCCCACATCCATAATTTTATGCACCACCCCCCTGCACATGTGTATGTGACCCCCCTGCTCCCCCCACTCCTGGCACGCGATGGCCCGGTAGGCCCGTTTTTCTCTCTCACCAGCCTCCAGAGCCTCTCTAAGCATCTGGGGAGGGCAAAAATGGCCTTCCCCATGCCCCCAGAGGCCAGAAATGGCTTGTTTGCCAACTTCCGGTGGGACCGGAAGGCCGTTTTTTTGCTGTCCCACCGGAAGTTGGCAAGCAGGCCATTTCTGGCCTCCGGAGGGCCTCTAGGGGCATGGGGAAGGCCATTTTTGCCCTCCCCAGATTCCTAGAAAGGCTCTGGAGGCTAGGGACAGCAAAAAACAGTCCTTCCCCACCACCACCCCGAGGCCCTCCGAAGGCAGGAAACAACCTGTTTTCCTACTTCTGGTGGGCCCAGAAGGCCCGAAAATCAGCTGGCCAGCACGCCAGAGCTGAGCTCACATGCCCACCAATATGGCCACCTGTGGCACATGTGCCTTAAATTCGCCATCATGGCTCTAGAGGTTCATATTACAAACACTTTAATAGCAACATTCTCCTAATATACTCTTTCTCAATATGTTTTCCAACATGTTTAGTTGAAAGTAATTTGCCGGCCATTTTAAGGCCAAGGAAAATCAGAAGAAGCATACTTAAATAATAGTACAAGAATGTTTTAGAAGGCCAACTTTATAATGGATAGCAACAGAATAATCGAATTGTAAGGGACCTTATAGGGCTTCTTGCTCAAGCAGGAGACCCTATACCCGTGATGGTGAACATACGGAACGTGTGCCAGAGGTGGCATGCTGACCCCTTTTTGCTGGCCTGTGCCCCATTGCCCCAAGTCAGAACTCCATGGCATTTCTTTTGTAAGCTTCTATTTCCCTGCAAACGACGAAACAGAAGCTCATGAAAGAAAAATTTCTTACGTCTTGCCGTGCTACCGGTGTTGGGATGCCCTGCCTCCTGCCAGCCAGCTGGTCTTCGGGTCTCTGCTGTGCATGCACATGCATGTCTGTGCATGTGCATGTCCGCGTATGCATGTGCATGCACACAGTTTGGGCACTCGGTGTCTAAAAGGTTCGCCATCGCTGCCCTATACTATTTCAGACAAGTGGCTGTCCAGTCTCTTCTTAAAAGCCCCCAGTGATGGATCACCCAAAACTTCTGAAGGCAGATCTGGTTAATTGTTCTCACTGTCAGAAAGGAGGCCCAGTCAGTATGATAGAGGCTTCCACTGAAAATATACTCATGCAATTATTTATTAATTCAAGTCTGTTTATCTTTTTTTTTTTTTTTTAGATATGGACAGTTGTTTTCACTGTCCAGAAGATCACTATGCAAGCAGAACAAGAGACAGGTGTTTTCCTAAAGTAATAACTTTCCTTTCGTACAAGGAACCTTTGGGGATCATTCTCTTCTCAGCAGCCTTTTGTTTTTCTTTAACCACAGTCTTGGTACTTGGAATATTTATTGCATACCAAAATACTCCCATTGTCAAAGCCAACAACCGGGATCTCACCTACATTCTCCTCCTTTCCCTCCTCCTCTGCTTCCTTTCTTCTTTGCTATTCCTTGGAGAACCTAACAAGGTAACCTGCTTTCTCCAGCAAGCTGCTTTTGGCATTATCTTCTCAGTTGCTATTTCTTGTGTGTTGGCCAAAACCATCATGGTGGTTGTAGCTTTCATGGCTACCAAACCAGGGTCCAACGTGAGAAGGTGGCTTGGAAGAAAAATTTCTAGCTTCACTGTTGTTGTAAGCTCCCTTATCCAAGCAGGCATTTGCGTGGTGTGGATGGCAACTTCTCCCCCGTATCCAGATTTGGATATGCAGTCACTAGCCAAAGAGATCATAGCAAAGTGTAACGAAGGTTCTATCGTCATGTTTTATTTTGTCCTGGGGTATATGGGATTTCTATCCCTCATCAGCTTCACTGTAGCTTTCCTCGCCAGAAAGTTGCCAGACACTTTCAATGAAGCAAAGTTCATTACATTTAGCATGCTAATGTTTTGCAGTGTTTGGCTGAGCTTTGTGCCAACCTATCTGAGCACTAAGGGAAAATACATGGTAGCTGTGGAGATCTTCTCTATTCTAGTCTCCACGGCTGGATTACTTGGCTGCATCTTTTTCCCCAAATGCTATATAATCATACTGCATCCTGAGCTGAACACCAAAGTACAGCTGATAAAGAGGAGGAAGATCTAATATTCTTCTTCTACCCTCAAAACTATGATATAGGGCACTACACACCAGAATAACTAGACACAAGGACAGTTTTTTTCTGAATGCCATCACTCTGTTTAACAACTAATTCCCACAACACTGTCAAATAATTTACTAAGACTGTATTACTATTATTTGTCTCTTCCTTACTAGTATCTATCTCTTCCCACCTATTACTATAACCAACAATTTATATTGTTTTTATTTGTTTCCTAGTATGATTTGATAGCTTATTAGTAACCTTGACTATCACTAAGTGTTGTATCTTTTTATTCGTGATGAATGTATTTTATTCTCCTTCTGTACACTGAGAGCATATACACCAAAGACAAATTCCTTATGTATTCAATCACACTTGGCCAATAAAGAATTCTGTTCTGTTCTATTCTATTCTATTCTATTCTATTCTATTCTATTCTATTCTATTCTATTCTATTCTATTCTATTCTATTCTATTCTATTCTATTCTATTCTATGTTTCAAATCTTGCTTACGGGGAAGTCATTTAAGAGGAAGAATTAATGAGTCCCCTTTCATTGCTGGATTTGATATGTGCATTCAACTGCAGTCATGTATTTCAATTTCTTATTCTTACATGCAATGAACTAAACTGCGGATGAACATGGTCTTCTCTGTAGAAAAGCAATGAACTATATTTTAATTCATATGGATGAATGGTCCTTGTTTGGTTTTGATGGAGATCAACAGTGTTTTTATGATAACTTTGGCTGAAGTGAAATATGTTTAAGATGAGAGGTGGTATTCAGCAGGTTCTGACCAGTTCTGGAGAACCAGTAGCAGAAATTTTAAGTAGTTCGGACAACCGGTAAATACCACCTCTGACTGGCCCCGCCCCCATCTATTCTCTGCTTCTGAGTCCCAGCTGATCAGGAGGAAATGGGGATTTTGCAGTAACCTTACCCTGAAGTGGGGAGGGAATGGAGATTTTTCAGTAAAATTCCCCTGCCATGCCCATCAAGCTATGTCCACCAAGCCATGCCATGCCATGCCATGCCCACCAAGCCACGCCCACAGAACCGTTAGTAAAAAAAATTGAATCCCACCACTGTTTAAGATGCATGAGATATCAAGAACTTATAAGGAGAACCTCTATAAAATGTTTTATCAGTGGCATTTACCACCAGTCAGATTGGCCAAGATGTTCTCAAACCAATCACCAGAGTGCTGGAGATGTGGCTATAAGCAGGGAACATTCTACCACATATGGTGGACCTGCTCCAAGATTAAAAAATATTGGTGTAAGATAAAAAAGTAGCTGGAAGGGATAACCGAATAGAGGATAGAGTTGAGGCCGGAATTGTTTCTCCTGGGTATTTTTGATGGGAAAATGGGGTAAGAATTACAATATTTAATATTACATATTTTAACTGCAAGTAGATTCATCCTAACACAGAATTGGAAACAAGCAGATACACCTCCAGACCAAATTACAATAAGGAAAATCTATGAATGTGCAGAGATGGATAGACTGTCTGTGGAAATGAAGGAGAGGGAAGAAACCGAGTACTACCAAAAATTTGGAATCGATGGTATTCCTGGCTTGAGAGTAAACATAAAACTTAAGGTATAAGATGTAAAAGTGTAATATATACAGTAAATTGTAAAATTTATCTCTTTGGTATATTGTGGTGTGGTCATTCCAAATAATAAAAAAAATAAAAAATAATTGTAAAATTTATAAGAAATATATGATATCAATTTGTGAGACGATGTAATTATAACTTAAATAAGGTTATACTTTAGGGTACTGATATATAGAAGTAGGATTTATGTAAATATGACTGTTACAAAAGCTAGAGATACCGACATGGAAAAGCTGTTATAAGTGTAAATTTTTGTGTTTTGTGTTTTAAATGTTGGAAAATTTAATAAACATTATTTTAAGAGAGAGAGAGAGAGAGAGAGAGAGGGAGGGAGAGAGAGAGAGAGATATCAAGAACTTGAGTTTTACGCAGAGTTCCTATGCATCACACAGCATGGCAAATATAAACATTTACAGCCTGGTTTCTAAAGAGGCCTAAATTTATAAATAATATAAATTAACTACAAAAGGGATGTTAGAAACTATTATTTTCTCTTTTTTTCTTTCCCTTCCTCTTTGTCCCTTTTTTTACCTCTTTATTTTCCAATACTTCAATTGTAGTTAAATTTGCTTTATCTTCTTTTCTCCTTTTTCAATATATGCAAAGAACATTAAGTGACAATACAGACTTCAAAGACAAAAATCTTTATTGTGCAACAAATACTACAATGTAGTCTGCAGCAGTTTTTTGTTTTTTTTTTAAGTTACATTCACTTCTGGGTGGAAAATCAAAATAATTTACATTTATTAACACTGACATTAGACATATAATTTAGGTAGATATAATATTTTTTGTCTTTCTTTTACCCTCAATGTCCTAAGTTGTCCAGACACCGGTGTCTTAATCATTTTAAACATCATTGTATAAATAATGCAGTGTCAAAACAATACAATGTACTAAGCAAGTTTCACAAAATAACTGTGGATTCTGAGGCACAGAGGTTCTTCAAAGAAATAACCTTTGTAGAATAAAACATTATTCTACATCTGTAGAATAAAAATATTGATATTAAGCACAATCCCAGGATTGTCTGCTAAGCCCTTTTCTTTATTCCTTGTACACACATGACTGCTCCCAATTGTATAACACCAATGCAATTATTAAATTTGTAGATGACACAACAGTGGTGGAGCTCATTAAGAAGAACAATGAGTCTGCTTACAGAAAGGAAGTACAAGGACTGACATTGCGGTGTAAAGAAAATACTCTTACACTTAACACCAAAAAAACTAAAGAACTTATAATTGACTTCAGGACGAAGAGAGATGTACATTTACCATTGTACATAAATGGTGAGGAGGTGGAGAGGGAAGGTAGTTTTAAATTTCTGGGCATTTATATCTTGAAGGACCTCTCATGGACTATGAATGTTAACATGCTTGTGAAGAAAGCACAGAAGAGGCTGTACTTCCTGAGAATGCTCAGGAAAATAAATCTATCTCAGCATCTACTTCTGTCCTACTATCGCAGCACCATTGAGAGTGTCCTGACATATGGCATTCTTGCATGGTATGGGGAGCAGCTCTGTAGCAGACAAAAAACCTCTACAGAGAATCATTAAAACTGCCCAGAATATCTTCAGACTCCAGCTACCAGCCCTGGATGACATCTTCGAATGTTGCATAACATTCTCAGAGACTCTTCCCATCCTGCTTACAATCTTTTTGGACTGTTGCCTTCTGGCAGAAGATACAGAACAATTAAAACTCGGGCCACACATTTTCTGAATAGTTTTTATCCCAGAGCTATAATTGCACTCAACAATGAACTAAAGGGCCAGCATCGGTGAGCTGTTGGCCAGCATTACTTGGTCTGTTGTGTGGATGTTTGGATGGTTTAGGGGTGGGGAATTTGTGGTGGGTGGGAGTGTGTTTGGGGATTGTTATGTCTGTTGGACCTGGTCTTTGAGTGTTAACTGAATTTCATTGTATGGGTATATTGTGTATATACGTACAATGACAATAAAGTTATTATTATTATTATGGACGTTCCCCTGTAACTACATTCAGTAACTATTGAAACAATGGAGTTGAGTCTTGAAACAATAGAGGATGCTTTTTTTAATGTTGCTGTTTGAATATGACTTGTTATTGGTTTTGGAATAAACTTGCAATCTATCAATATGGTTACTATTTTTAGATTTCTTTTGCCTGGAAGACAATTTTTGACTCTATTTCTTTCTCTTTTCATTTCTTTCTCTTATTATTATTTTTTTGTTCTCATTTTTTGATGTTGATAATGATGATAAGGATGATGAATATTGCATGCAGTTTTGGTCGCCATGATGTAAAAAAGATGTTGAGACTCTAGAAAAAGTGCAGAGAACAGCTACAAAGATTAGGGAACTGGAGGCTAAAACATATGAAGAACGGTTGCAGGAACTGGGTATGTGTAGTTTAATGAAAAGAAGGACTAGGGGAGACATGATAGCAGTGTTCCAATATCTCAGGGGCTGCCACAAAGAAGAAGGAGTCAAACTATTCTCCAAAGCACCTGAGGGTAGGATAAGAAGCAACGGATGGAAACTAATCAAGGAGAGAAGCAACTTAGAACTAAGGAGAAATTTCCTGACAGTTAGAACAATTAATCATTGGAACAACTTGTCTCCAGAAGTTGTGAGTTTTCCAACACTGGAAGTTTTTAAGAAGAGATTGGATAACCATTTGTCTGAAGTGGTGTAGGGTTTCCTGCCTAAGCAGGGGGTTGGACTAGAAGATCTCCAAGGTCCCTTCCAACTCTGTTATTCTAAATGATGATATTCAAAGCAGTATCACTTTATTAACATTGTTGTATGTACACAATATTGGGTACAATATTGTGTACACTGTTATTTGTACACAATAGAAATTGAATAAAATTATGTGATGAGTGGATTTTACTTCTATGGTTGCAATTTGGGGGAAGTTATTCAGAAGATAATTCTCATGGTTGAAGACATTGGCAGGTTAATAATGGGAACGTAATACAAATTTCAGTAAAAAAAAAAAATCCACTTGGGTAAAATATCTAGTTCTGCTAATTCTTCATCGTTCAGAACTGATGAAGCTTCTTGGATGAGAAGTGAAATGTCTTCTTCATCTTTTAACAACCCCATAATCCCTTGTGGGGTGGAGTTTGGGCAACTGAATGAAGTTAATAGAATATTTACTGGCCAGATGCCCTTCCTGTTGCCAATGTGGAGTTTTGTTCAGCAGATATATTCTCAGTGTGCCCAGAGAGAGAAATAACTGCTTCTACCTAGGATTGAACTCACAGCCTCCAGATTGTGAAGCGAAAGCTCCACCTCTAGGCCACTGCACCACTCCAGGCTTTGAATCTGTAATGCTATAGAAAAATAGAGCTTGGTTCCCATTAAAAGGAGGTTTGTGTTTAGCTTCAGATTCACTTCCTCTCACTGTGCCAGCTGTGCAGTAATAGACTGATGTGTCCTCAGGTTTCAGGCTGTTCATTTGCAGATACAGCTGGCGGTTGGCATTATCCCTGGAGACAGTGAAGCGCCCTTTCACAGATTCTGCGTAGACTTGCTTACTTGCATCGAACCAAATAGCTGAGATCCATTCCAGTCCTTTTCCTTGGGCCTGTCTCACCCAACGCAGGCCAGCGTTGCCAAAATCAAACCCTGAGCCTGTGCAGGAGAGGTGGAGAGACTCCCCAGGTCTTTTCACACCTCCTCCAGATTCTTCCAGCTGACCTTGAGATTTAATACCTAGGAACCAAGGTGCATTTTAATACGCGGTAATGGTATAGAGAATCTGAGTCGTCTTCTTTTCCTGAGGAAGAAAAGTCATGTCTTACCTCTGAAAAGGACTGAACATAAAAGTAACTGCAGAAAAGGGACAAATTTTCTCCTCATCTTTTGGGTGGTATTGGTGGTGGGGCTGGAAGTGCAGTGGGATTGGTCTTAATCTAAGAGAACGTTGTTGGGACTTCATGATGAAGGGGCACAGAACAATCCTTGCATTTCTACAGGAAGCTGTCCTTGCATTTACATACTTGTCAAAATAAAAGGGGCAACACTTTCTTTCGTCTCTCCTCAGAGATTGACAACATGACGTGGCAGGCAGTAAGTTCTCAACAACTGAGGAGAATAAGCATCATAATGGTCGCCTTGGTTCAAACTTCAAAGCAAATAATCAGATGTAGAGTTAGGTCCTTTGCCGATTGCGTGCCAAAAGCGGGGGGGAGCATGATGGGGTCACATGCACGCATGCCCACATCCATAATTCTATGTGCCCCCCCATGCTCCTCCCACTTTTGGTACGCGATGGCACGGTGGGCACGGTAGGCCTGTTTTTCGCTCCCTCCAGGCTCCAGAGCCTTTCTAGGAGCCTGGGGAGGGTGAAAACAGCCTTCTCCACCCCCAGAGGCCCTCCGGTGGCTAGAAACAGTGTGTTTCCTGACTTTTGGTGGGCCCAGAAGGCCCAAAAATCAGCTGGCCGGCGCACACATGCGTGCTGGAGCTGAGCTCACGTGCCCACCGATATGGCTCCATGTGCCACATGTGGCACCCGTGCCATAGGTTCGCCATCATGGACCTATAGTTATAACCTATAGAGAAGGACTAGAGGGACAGGGATAGCAGTATTCCAATATTTGAGGGGCTGCCACAGAGAGGAAGGGGTCAAGCTATTTTCCCAAGGAACCTGAAGGCCAGACAAGGAACAATGGATGGAAACTGATCAAGGCGAGATTCAACCTAGAACTAAGGAGAAATTTTCTGACAGGGAGAGCAATCAACCCATGGAACAGAAGTTACCTTTGGAAGTTGTGGAAGCTTCATCACTGGAGGCTTCCAAGAAGAGATTGAACTGCCATTTGTCAGAAATGGTGTATGGTCTCCTGCTGGGGCGGGGGGGGGGGTTGGACTAAATGACTTACAAGGTCCCTTCCAATTCTGTTAATCTGTATCTGTATAAGTACAGACTAGGTGAAACCTGGGTTAAAGACAATAGTTGTGAAAGTTACCAAGATAGTCAATAAAGCTCCTAAAGTTTCCATGTTCACCAAGATGGTTATCCAGCTCAGTGTTGGTGTCCCCACTGTGGATCTCTCTCCTGCTTCAATTGCCTCTGTTCCAGGGATGGTATTCACTTACTTTCCCTACCGGTTCGCAAATGTGAGCGCGTGTCCATGCATGCACCCAGTCTTCCACAAATGCATTTTGCTGGCACATGTGTCATCCATGCATGTGTCCCGCCTCAAAAATATGCCTAAATAGGATGGCATAGAGCTGGGCCAGGTGGGCAGGCCCACCCGCGATTTCTGCTACCAGTTTGGGCAAACCAGTTCAAACTGACTGAATACCACCTCTGCTCTGTTCCCAGTCCCCTCCACTCCTACTCTTCCTTCCAAGGTAATGAGAAATAAATCATAACAGATCTATCTGTTGGGTTGTGTTTGGAACAAAGGGAAACCAAACAACTTTGTATAAGATCATTAGTTCTGGAGAATGATAAAGGCAAGACTAAATGAACATGTGTGGGTTTATGGTTAGAAAAGTCGTGGTTGCACAGTGGTTAGAATACAGTACTGCAGGCTACTTCTGCTGACTGCCAGCTGCTACCAGTTTGGCAGTTCGATTCTTACCGGCTCAAGGGAAAGTAACAGTGTTCTGTGCACCTTTGGTGTATGGGCCACGGTGGTGTAGTGGTTAGAGTGCAGTACTGCAGGTTACTTCTGCTAACTGCCGGCTGCCTGAAATTTTGCAGTTCAATTCTCACTGGCTCAAGGTTGACTCAGCCTTCCATCCTTCCAAGGTTGATAAAATGAGAAGCCAGATTGTTGGGGGTGATAGGCTGCTCAGAGAGGGCTGTAAAGCACTGTGAAGTGGTATATAAGTCTAAATGCTATTGCTATGCTGCAGAGCCTAAACCATTCCATTTGTTATAGAAAGTAGATATGGAGGAAATGTTTGAGAACTTGAAGACAAGTGCCATTCTAATAACCCAGCATTCTTTCTCCAGTAGAGCACAAGTAAGTAGAAGGAGAAATAGCTACCCTGAAAACAGAAAATTTCACAGCTACAATACCTTCTCTTATGGAAGGGATATCCTCTGTCAGAGGCCTCCTTGATACCCAAATATGATATACAAGCTCCCCGATTGATTGATAGGTTTCCCAGGAAATACCCAGGGAAGCCGGGGTGGACCCGGGGATGCATGACATATCATTTAATGTGCATTTCCGTTTCAGAAGCCGTCTCCATGGTAGAGGGGCCGCATGTCAGCTCCAGTGTGCTGTCGGCATGGAGCTGCCATTCGTGGAGGGAGGAACGTACAAACCTTGTTTCAGCCCAGCATCTGCTTTGTGGAGCCTCCCAGGAACTGACAGGATTGACAGGAGGGAATAGCTGGGGGATGACATCATCATGGCCAGCCGGAAATAACAAGAGGATTAACTGTTTAGATGTTGGTTATAAATACTCAAATGAATTAACTGTTTAGATGCTGGTTGTAAATACTCAAGAATTAAACATAAACCAACTTCCCGGTCACACGGGAGCACAGGGCAGTAGCCCTAACAAGATTTTCATCTGTGATTGTCAGTGAGTGCCAAGAAGTGATTAAACTAAGGTAGCAGCCATCCAGGTTTGTCTCCTTTTATTTCCTTCTGTTTGGAACCTGACAAGTAACTGATAAGAGGGAGGTTTTTGCCAGTTTCCAGATTCACTTCCTCTCACTGTGTAAGCTGTGCAGTAGTAGACTGCTGTGTCTTCCATTCTCAGCCTGTCCATTTGCAGATACAGCTGGCGGTTGGTATTGTCCCTGGAGACGGTGAAGCGCCCTTTCACAGATTCTGCGTACTCTTGCTTACTTGAATCAAACCAAATAACTGCAATCCATTCCAGTCCTTTCCCTGGAGCCTGTCGCACCCAATGCAGGCCAGCATTGTCAAAGTCAAACCCTGAACCTTTGCAGGAAAGGCGGAGAGACTCCCCAGGTCTTTTCGAATCTCCTCCAGATTGTTCAAGGAGACCTTCAGATTTGATACCTAGGAATCGATATGCATTTTACTACGCATTCATATATTAATGTATAGAGAATTAATTGTATAGAGAGTTTGGCTCACTTTTTTCTGCGGAAGAAAAATCACTGCCTTACCTCTGAAAAGGACTGAACATATAAGTAACTGCAGCAAAAGGACAATTTTTCTCTCCATCTTTTGGGTGATATTGGTGGTGGGGCTGGTAGTGCTGTGGAATTGGTCTTAGTCTAAGAGAATGGAATTGGGACTTCATGATGAAGGGGCACACAGAACAATCCTTGCCTTTCTACAGGAAGTTGTCCTTATATTTACATATCCGTCAAGATAAAAGGGGCAACATTTCCCATCAGCTGTTCTCAGAGATCGACAACATGACTGGGGAGGCGGTAAGTTCCGAACAACTGAGGAGACTAAGCATCATAATGGTCGAGTTGGATCAAAATTCAAAACAAATAGTCAGATGTAGAGTTAGGTCAGCTTAGAGTTAGAGTTGGACAATTAAGGTAGATTGGTAGTGTTTCCTGCTTTAGCAGGGGGTTGGCAGTACAAGAAGCTATGGGTGGAAACTAATCAAGGAGAGGAACAATCTAGAACTAAGGAGAAATTTCCTGACAGTTAGAACAATTAATCATTGGAACAACTTGTCTCCAGAAGTTGTGAGTTCTCCAACACTGGAAGTTTTAAAGAAGGTGTTGGATAACCATTTGTTGGAAGTGTTGTAGGGTTTCCTGCCTAAGCAGGGGGTTGGACTAGAAGACCTCCAACTCTGTTATTCTGTTAATGGGTGACAAAGCATAGCAGAACTATCTGTTGGATTATCTGTGTTTGGAATAAGGGGGAAAACAAACAGCTTTTCACTAGCACATTAGTTAAGGAGATTCATAAACGTGAGGCAAAATAAACGGGGCCGAAGCCGTCCAATTTGTTATAGAAAGTGGACATGGAGGAAATGCCGAGAACTTGAAGATAAGTATCATTTTAATAACAAAGCATTCTGTCTCCACAAGAGGACAAGTAAGCAGCAGGAGAAATAGTTGTGCTGAAAATAGTTGCACACTAACTTCTCTCTCTCTCTCTTTCTCTTCCTTCTTTTCTTTTTTTCAGTTACTGGCAATCTTTTTTTTCTTTTTTTTTTTTGTTGTCATACGTTTTCTTTCTCACTGTAAGAACCTGAAAGAGGCCATAACAGAGTTTAATTATGTTATTCCCCATACACAGTTATATTTCACCTCAATTCCTCAGAAAATGAAACCCTGTCCTCTGGTGCTAAATTTCTTTATCGAGATAAAGCCAAGCCATATCTTCCCGAAGTAAATGTCAGGCCATGGGACCCGTGTGTGTGTGTGTGTGTGTGTGTGTGTGTGTGTGTGTGTGTGTTTTCCTCAGAAGTAGTTTTCCATTGCCTTCTTCCTGGGGCTGAGACAGAGGGACTGGTCCAAGCCTGACTTTGTGCTTTCATTTTAATGTATGTCAATCAGTGTACATTCAAGTGACAATAAAGTTATATTCTAAAAAGAAAATTCTATTCTTACAGTTAACTGAAATTCCCTTCCCTTCCTCACTGTGTAATTCTCACACAATAACATGCAGTGGCATCTTCAGCTTTCAAATTTGAATCGTTTACTCTCCGATTTCCAGTTCACACAAATGGTTCCAAATTTGGTTCCAAATTAACAACAAGACATGAAACAACATTTCCCCATTCCAGGATCCTTCAACTGACTCCAGCCCCCCCCCCCCCACACACAATTCAGTCTTGTTCAATTCTCAGAGACTGCCTAGACCTGTGATGGTGAACCTATGGAATGCGTGCCACAAGTGGCACGCAAAGCCATATCAGTGGGCACACAAGCTTTGCCCTAGCTCAGCTCTGGCTCATATGTGCACACTGGCCAACTGATTTTTGGACCTTCTGGGCCCACCAGAAGTCAGGAAACAGGCTGTTTCTGGCCTCTGGAGGAGAGGGGAAGGCTGTTTTTTGCTCTCCCCAGGCTCCAGACGCTTTCTAGGAGCCTGGGGAGAGCAGAAATGGCCTTCCCCAACCCCGCAGAGGCTCTCTGAAGGCCGGAAATGGCCCATTTCCCAACTTTCCAAAAGTTGGGAAACAGGCCATTTCCGGCCTCCGGGGAAGGGGGGAGCCATTTTTACCCTCTCTAGGCTCCTAGAAACCCTCCAGAGCCTGGGGAGGGTGAAAAACAGGCCTACCAAAAGCACGTACGCTTTTGGCATACGTACTATCGTATGCCAAAAGCGGGGGGAGCACAGGGGGGTCATGCATGCATGCACGGGGGACGGGGCACATTGAATTATGGGTGTCGGCATGTACATGCGCGGCCCTCACTTTTGGCACGCGCCAGCAAAAAGGTTAGCCATCATTGGCCTAGACCAATGTCGGTGAACCTTTTTGGCACTAACTGCTGAAACGGGAATCTGTGCGGGTGTGTGCGTATGCCGGAAACTGGAAGAACATCCACCCAGTGCACATGCATGCACCGACCACCTGGTCTTCTGGTTTCTGGTGTGCATGTGCACACAAAGACTAACTAACCAGTGCTCATGAACATGTTGGAGACCACAAGAACATCTGCCCGCTGCGCTTGGATGTGCCAGAAAGATGATCTTCCTGTCTCTGGCATGCCTATGTGCACTGGTCAGCTGATCTTCATGCCAGAAACCAGAAGATCAGGTGGCGGTGAGCATGCGCGTACCGGAAACTGAAAGAGCAGCCACCTGGTGTGTGTATGCGCACCAGGCGACTGCTCTTCCGGTTTCCAGTGCTCCTGCATGTGTGAAGACCAGCTGGCAGGCGCAACAGAACCTGGAAGAGCAACGGGCAATGGCTCGCGTGCCTGGAGAGATGGCTCTGCACGCCGCTTCCGGCACGTGTGCTGCTTCTGGCACGCATGCCATAGGTTTGCCATCACAGGCCTACACAAATCCCTGCAGTTTTCTTGGCAAGGATGTTTAGAAGTAGTTTGCCATTGCCTCCTTCATAGAGGTAAATTAAAGTGACTGAACCAAAGTCACACAAAGTCATTAATTTAGCCACAGGGTTATTTTTGCTTTCTGTAATGAATGGAAGGGAATTGAACGGAAAATATTCAGGAAAGAACAACATCTTTGTGGTGTGATGTTAGCCTCAGGACCATGTGGTTCATTTAAAGAGGAAATCCTAATTTACATATCCTCCAAGTTAAGAGAATTGCTCAAATCTTTCACTTTGACAGTTCTTATAACAGACATTTACAGATATAACTTCAAGATACATTCTATCTTTGTTGTTGTTAGTTGCGAAATCGTGTCTGACCCATCGCGACTCCATGGACAACGTTCCTTCAGGCCTTCCTGTCCTCTATCATCCCTCAGAATCCATTTAATCTCATGCCTACTACTTTAGTTACTCCACCCAGCCACCTCGTTCTCTGCCGTCCCCTTCTTCTTTTGCCCTCGATCGTTCTTTCTTATGACATTCAAAACAATCTTCTTTCACTTTCTCCTCCCCTCTCCCCCTCCCCTCATCTTTCTTCTTTCTCCTCCTCCTCTTCCTCCTCCTCTCCCTCACTCCTTCTTCTTAATACGACTTCTTACTTATTCTTTTTCCTGTATGTTTATTGTAGAATAAACAAAGGATTCTATTGCAACATCTCATCTCATATCCCCTAATATTTTCCACCCCATTTTCTTTCCTTAACCTTCATTGTTGTATTGTACAAAAATGTACAACATTATTGTATTGTACCAGATTAATTGGTGGCAGACATAGCCACAAACATGATTTGCAAGGATTTGGCTCCCTCTAGGATACAAAGTCAGAATGAGACAAAACACATTATAGCCAACTCTCCGTTAACTGTTCTTTATCACCAGCTTATGTGACACAACCTGCCTCCGCCGGTCCAGCTGCCTTTCTCCAGCTTTCTCCTGAGACCCTTTGCCTGGGAAGACAGAGCTAGGGAGGAAAGAAGGAGTGTGTGTGTGTGTGTGTGTGTGTGTGTGTGTGTGTGTGTGTGCAAATTTTCTACATTTGCATTACACATGACGATTCCATAACACCAGTTATTTTCCTTTTGGGAAAGGAGACTTTTAAAAAAGGTGTGAGCGGCTCCCTCTTTCTCCAGATTTTGCAGCTGTGTGCATGGCCAGCGCAAGAGAAGCGGGATGCCCAACATTGAGCTGTGCAGCCCCGCAGCCTTTGCAGAGGCAGTGACACCAGCAAAATTATGTAGGCAAGCCACATGCCCTGCCAGCGCAGGCCATGCTGGAAATCGCCTGATCAGCTCCGCGGGGCTGCAGAGCTGAATGTCGGGCATCCCGCTTCTCTTGCATTGGCTGCCGCCATGCATACAGCTGATCAGCGCTCCAATGGGGCTTCTCTGGAGTGTGGCTGCAGTCGCTGGCACCATGGATGTTCTCCACCACCACCAGGACCTTTTCCCCACTCCCACCAGGAAGGCAAACCCCGAGGTTTGACAGTGAGGCTGGCAGGAGGAGGAGGAGGAGCCACAACGGCGGCATGCTGTTCACTTCTCCTTCTCCTGGCTGCTCCAGTATCCCAGTCGAAAGTGGCGGTGTGACAGCCACCACGCCGGGGGCAAGGGGGCAGCAATGACAAAGATGGGTGGGCCAAGGCTTCCCTCCCTCCCCACCCTGCTGCCCCATGCACCCAAGCTGTCCAGTCACTCCTGCCCTTCTCCCTGCAGCTGCTGCTACTCTTTGGGGCCTCGCTTCCCCCCCAGCCCCATGAACCACTTCAGACTCACGTCAAATTAGGTGGAGGGAAGGGGATGGTAAAGAAGAGGCAGTCCAACATGGCTAGGTGAAGGGGCAGGGGGCTGGGCGGCCAGTCAACCAGCCAGCAAATGCTGCCCTGTTGCCCTATGCCCCCATGCTGGCTGGTTGTTCTTGCCCTTCCCCTTGCAGCTGCCACTGCCACTGTTGCTGGTCTTCTGGGGTAGTGCGGCTGTGCAGAAGGAATGTGTTGTGGCCCCGCCCTCTGAGCCTGTCCCATCGGAGGAAGAAAGCTCCGAGCATGAGGAAGAGGAGTCAGCCAGGCCTCCCTCTCCAGGCCCCTCCCCTCTGGCATTGTCTCAAGTGCCAGTCGAGGGAGAGGAGACAGCTGATTCAAGTCAAAGTGATAATGAAACATCATTCCTGGACGCACGCCTCCGAAGGCGTGATAAACGTTTGCAGCAGCTTGGGAGGCGTGCTAGGGATTAGCACTGAGT